CCCCCTTTTTTCCTTCTGCTTTGTTTTTCAGTTGGGGTTCCCCCCTGTTTTGTCTAGTCATTGTTGGTGGTGTTTGGTTTGTTTTTTGCTTCTTGTGTGTGTGTTGTATGATTTTCTGTAGATGAGATCCAAGATAGTTACATCTCTAGAGGCAGTGACTGGTTTAATAATTACCTTGGGGCATGGCAGGGGAGGGTGGGGTGGAGGTGGAGGAATGGGGAGCTCACAGCGAGGATGAGATGAAAATGTTCTGAAATTGCTTGTGGAGGTGGCATTTACACAACTCTGCTGAACATGATTGAATGGTTAAATGGTCCGGTGTGCGAAGTAGATGCCAGTAAAAAGAGGTCGTCGCTGTCAGGTGACGTTGAGTCGGTGTGACTGAGCAGCAAACTGTTGAACAAAAAGAAGGGACCGTTGCCGGGTCCTTTGCCATCCTCAGAATTGTTCCTGATAAACAAAAACGGAAATCCTATGCAGCAGATCTACTCTATAACATTCAGGGCCACCATGAGTTAGCACCAACCGGATTCTAAATCGTTAACCACAGCAATGAGACCATTTTGCATTTGTGGCTGAATTCCTCTGTGGTGAGAAGGCCAGATGAAATGAACTGAATTGCAGAGAAGGGTGAGCCCTTCCAAAATGAGTCATTTTCGTCCCTAGGCCGTTAGCCAGCAGGGAGTGAGGCGTCCAGAGGCAAAGGCTTTGGGGATGAATGTGTGGAACTGGGGAGCAAGGGGGCGAGTGTGGAACTGGGAGCAAGGCTGCAAAGTGGATCTTATCGTCCAAGTTGGTGGTGCTTAGATTTCAAAGCCCCGGGGGGGACTGAGCAGCCTGAACCCCTCCTCAAGATACTTGAAACCAGAGACGGTCTGAAATAAGAGAAGGGAGTAACAAAAGGGGCAACCCAGGCCAACTGCTGACAAGTCAGAAAAGAGGAGCCTCTCTCCCTCCGGGAGGTACTTATCTTCTGCTTCAGCCTCTACGCTTCCCTTAGACTGTCCAGCATAGAAAGCTGGAAAGATGTGAGAAACTGGTGACCCTTTATCAAGAGAGGAGGACAAGCAATGGAAACAGAC